CATAAAGCTTCTCTTCTCTCTCTCTCTCTCTCTCTCACAGACATATTATACTTCCCTTCTCCTCCTTCAATCTCCATTATTTTCTTTTTCTCCTTCTGGGTTTCTAATTTTCAAAAATTTTTTTCTTCTTCTGGGTATTTTTGTTTTGTGTTTGGAGCCATGGATTTTTGCCGGAATGTGTCGGTTTCCGGTGAGTATCATCAGCAAGAGCAGGTTCTTTCACCGGCTTGTTCTAAGTTTGGTGCTTTAAACCCTGGCTCCATTGATGACCTTTTCTCTGCTCAGAATATGGTAATTAGTTTTTATACTTTTCATTTTTTCTAGTTTTATCTACTTGGGTATTTTCTTTTTTTTTTTCTTTTCTTTTCTTTGCAGTTTTGCTGATAAATTTTCAATCTTTTCTTTCTCCAATATTGTTTCTCCATTTCAGGCTCTATCTTTCTGTTCTCTGGTTTATTTTCTTGCTAAACTAGATACTTTGGGTTTCTTTTTTTTTTTTTTTTTTTTATGTGGAGTAACCAAACAAAGCTCTTTCCTTTTAATATATGTTTGAGGTTCTATTTATATGTTCGTAAAGGTTTCTCATTTTGTCAGCTTGTGTATTTGGTTTTGCTGAGAATATATAATGGTTTGTTTTGATTGCAGGAAGCAGATGTGAGTTTAGAGTGGCTATCAATATTTGTTGAGGATTGTTTAACCAGCACAGGAAACTGTCTTCCTGCAACACAAACTCCTTCACAAACTGTTGAAATCCAAACCACAAAATCTCCAACTCCAAAACCGTCAAAACCCCATCAAATCCCACCATCTCTCCACAAATTTGTAGTACCTGGAAAGGCCAGGAGCAAGAGATCAAAAAGAACAACAGCAAAAAAGAACAAAAACCAATTAACCAGCTGGTGTAATTACATAAACCCACATCCCATTTTCACACCCTCAGACCCTCCATTGCTGCAACAAGCATATTGGTTAGCAGAAAGTGAACTGATTGTACCAAAAACCA